GTCAACTTCATGCAGTCTGTGAACAAAGGCCGCTAGCACAACGGCAACATACAATGGATGTTTTGCTCGCCACATTGTGAGCACCTAAAACTGAGTGTGTACTTTCTGCCTGCAGGAGCATAATAGTGATGTGAATGAGACTGATGGGGGTTACAGTAGGGTAACATTTAATATTAGCCGGGTAACAAAAATACAAAATACTGACGATTAATTGTGTAGTAGTGAGACATGCTGTACTGCACAAGACTTCCTGATAAACATTAAGCAGCATGAAAAGTATGAGAATTTGAAAAGGAAACAGGAGTTCTTTAAAACCATGAGCTCGGACTGAACGGCTGATGTTTCGACAATAACGTGGCAACTTCTAATCTTAAAAAAGTGAGGTTAACAGTTACAGTTTACTGAATGCTTATACAAAATAATCCAGACAGATTAAATATCTTATTTCATAATAGTAATATTTTTGTCTTGTTGCACCAAAAAATGTCAATGTAGTCTGTGCTTTGTTATTTTAAAACCGCCAAAAACTTCAAATCTTGAGTTTTCCTCAATTAACATCACACATGACTAAATAAGAAACAATCAAAGTTCAGAAAATGCTTCCTTCAGTTGAACAGTCAACAGAACTAATGTGCTTCATCAGGACTGTGTGGGTTTGATCAGATTTAATTGACAGTACTGTTTTTTGCAGTGAGCAACACAAAAAATTACAGATCAGATCAGATCTAATGGCTGCTGGACCACATTGAATGCAATTCCATCCGTCTATCCATCCTTACGAGGTCAAAGTCCTTCATTCATCCAGCTGAATAACACGCGTCACCCGACCCTCTTTATTCTCCCCTTTGTCCCACCATTCCTCAACCTATCCTATCCATCACATATTCATTCATGAAACAAAGGGACACAAACATACAACAGTACAGCCAACCTGTATGAAAAAAATTCAGCGACACATACATTGCGGCCGGTATTGTTAGTCTATTTACACGGCACACTGTGAATCACACAGCCACAACCAAGAGAGAGCAGAAACGGTGGTACCCAAGAAGAACAAAAATAATAGCAGCAGTGAAACAAATAAAACTTCAGAAGCCAGTTTTCTCTTTTGGCTGAAAAAGATGTAAACAAAGGCAGTGTGAAAGAAAGGAGATGCTTTGTTTTGTCTGCAAATTATTCTCTTTTTCATCCCAGACTACTGAAAATTCCTCCAACCCGTCAATCAATCCTTCCCTGATGCCAAAACACCTGGATAAGACACAATCTATCCATCCTTCCCTCTACGGGGAGAGTCTATCCCCCTTCCTATACTTCCTAACCTACATCCCTCTGTAACGCTAACCTACTCCCCCTTCCCTCCATCAAATCCAACCTTGCCTCAAAGGTCAAACAGCTGGAATGGATCGATGGTTTTGGAGAGGGAAGGGAAGACTGCAGCAGAGGAGAAGAGAGAGACGAGGGGAGGGGGGACTTTTGGTGTGGAGGAGGGACAGGGCCATGAGAGGGGGAGGAAAAGAGTAGAAGACGGACAGAGAAGAGATTTTGAAAGAGAGGAGGGAGACGGGATTAAGAAAACCCTGCATCAGCATTCCTCTGGGTTTCTATGGGAGCAGCAGGAGAGGAGGGAGGAAGGGAGGAAGGGAGGGAGAATGGAAGGTGAGTGAGGGAGGGATGGAGCAGGAGGAGTTGCTCTGTGAGGGAGGAATGGGATAAAAGGAGAATAGGACAGAGAAAACTAAGAAGAGAAGGAACACTCCTTTCTCCTTGTTCCACTTAATTGCCCTAATTGTTTCTTTACCCACAGGGTGGTAAACAATAGGTGTGTGTGTGTGAGAGAGAGTGTGTTGGTCTAACTGTGCTAAATACACAAGTACTAGCTGATAATGTGTTAATATAACAGAGTATAATACAGTAGCTTCACAGATAGCTGACATTACGTATGTTCATTTTCTACGACCTTTGAGGGATCCCCAGGGGAAGCAATGATATTAGCATTGTCACACCATCCAATCTCACATAACCGTGCTCTGCTGGGGAATAACCTGCTCCACCAGGAGAGATCCAGCAGTCTGCAGTCAGTCCGAGTCAGGGGAATAGGATACAAATATGTTGAATTTACTGTGTTAACTTACTGTCTTGTTAGGGACCACAAGTAGCACCCATGCTAATTACTTTGGCTGTTGTTGTTTCTGGTCCGACCAGGCACCACAGCTTCTAAAAGTTCAGCTTATAATTGTTATAAATGTTTGTATTGTTAGGTTACAGTTTGTAGAAAACACTGGAACTAGTAAATAAGTGTTAAAATGCAGCTAATTGCATACAGATACAAATGTCCAGAAGTAGCTAACACAGTGCTAATCATGTGCTAACAGGCAGCCTACAACAGCGGCTACAGTTATAGCGGTAGCTAGCTACAATGGAGGTGACGGTGTGAGAATGTAAAGGATATACTCAATAGTGAAAGTAGATATGATTTAAAACAGTATTTTTCGCTACAGAATTAGCTCCGTAGAGAAGTGGATACATTCCTGGATAAAATGTAGCTGCTTTTGTTTGTGTTTTTTTTAATTGAGATTATTGGAACTATTTTCTGTATTGGTGCATAAAGCATTGACAGTGTTAGCTTTGCAGAAACTAATCCCTCTCCAGTTCGCAGTACAATATCGACGGCCTGCAGCAGCACAGTAAAGGTCTAACCAGTACACTGCATAGCTCTGCTTTGTATAGAATATCGATATCAGTACAGACTGGAGCCTGCAGCCGCCACCAGAACGCAATCAATAATTCACAAACCTCCTTTACACCTGTGAATCACCAAAGCCTGCGTTGCCTGGTTAAATGTCTTTTTGTCCAGTTTGTGTAACCTTTTTACGCACATTTCTTTTTATGGTTTGTATGTATATGTCTTTGTAGCTTGATGTCTCTCTCTAAAAGTTTTTTATACTCCTATTTTCAGTCTCTGGGCCGGATTTGACACAGATGAGTGAGACATTCCTGGGTGAGCAAACACACACACACACATAGTTTCCTGAGTCATATCAGCTATGTGAAGAATTCCCCTCACTGAAGGGTTAGCATAACTCAACATAGCAGACCCTAACACAGCTTATGAAACCATGTTAGTGAGACCGCAGACAACTAGAGAACCCCTCAGCATGTCATCTGGTCAGTAAATGGGTTTATATGCCAGGTGGAAAATAACTCAATACATAAACTTGTGTTGATCACATACAGTCATACATCTAATGTATTGACTGTTTGGAGAATAGAGTTAGAAAATGGGAATAAGGGCACCCAGGGTTCTTCACATTAAAGTCCTGTTAGTTTTCTTCATAGGCAATATTAGGTGTAGTGATTGATAGAAGTCTTGGATTGACATTGAATCATCAGGACAAAAGATGAACAACTGTGTTCGAAAATATCTAAAACTTAAAAATAAAATAAAATAAAATAAAACTTGAGGAGAAAAGTCAATTCCAACTTCCAAGGAGCATTTTGTTAAGAAATATCAAAGCGCCGTACTTAAAATTCTGTTGCACCCACTGATGACAGTTGGCATGGCAATTTAAATCCCAACTTTAATGCCAATGTACTTTGCTGCTGTCAATACCAAACTGACAGAAAACAGAAACAAAGCTGAAATAATCAACACTGATTGACAAAACAATCTATAGTACTTCTAAATTATCCAGAAGTTTGCAATGTTTTGGATTTCATGTACACTTCTTGAACCAGCAATGCAAATGCAAAAGATATGGTACAGTCAACTAGCCGATAATAGTTGGAGAATTTCAACCACTTACAACATTAAGAAGTTTAATGCAATTACCTAACTTTAATGAAAAGAGGATTCTTTGCAATGAGCATGAGATAGAGCTATCAGTTCAACATGGTTGAAGAAGGAAGTGAAGTATCTGCTGGTATCTGCAATCTCATTTACTCAGTCACTACCCAAAGCCCATTTTACAATCATTAGTGAAAAGGCAACAAAGTGCGTAGAGTGCTTTCACCCCACACTCCACTCATCCGTCTGCTTACGCAAATAAACTGCCTGTCCACTGCTGTAAAGTCAACATCAGGCAACGCTAAGCGTTCCTCCTAGTCATCTTCCCATCTTCCCAGTCATCCGCAAACAGCAAACTGGCAATTGTATCGAGAGGACACACAGTCCAGCCAGACCGGAGCAGACAGACCCAGATCCCGTGCCAGCGACCCAGCCATCCATCCAACCCTGACCCACATCAGGGGCCTGGTCCTGGGCCAAGGCCATGAGCATCGGCCCATCAGACAGTGGGGAAAACAGACAATGAGCAGAAACAAGAGAGAGAGAGAACCAAACGGGTGGAAAGATGGGGTCTCATTTAATGCTTTTCACTCAGATTAGACGGCTCAGAAGGAAGCCTTCGGGGGCAGTGGAGAGGTCAAGCTTAACTCCAACATCAATTTATTTTCATTTATTTACCTTTCAAAAGGAGTGCAACGCCAACCCTGTGTTGTTTATTTTCACTTCAGCTGGCCCTGGCATCAAATTTTATTCCTCCTTTTCATTGCAGCGCTTTATTGGCTACACTAGGTATAACAAAAAAGTCCCTGGAGTGGCAGCAGAGTGGCAGAAGGGAAGTCAGCGCTAGATGAGAACAGAGATGGGCTCTCCTGAGGCTCTCTGAGGCAAACTCAGCACAGTAAACATTGTTTTCTTCAAAGGGCCAAAAGGACAACAGGCTAAATAAAGATCTGCCTGAACCTCAATGTTTAGCTAAAATTTCCAGTTTGGTCCAAACTCAAATAGGCACTTTAATCTGAAATTAGACCATAGTAATTTTCTTCAACAAAAAAGGGTTCACTAAACAGCCCAGCAGTAAGCAGCCTACGACTGCTGCACACACTGGCTCACAGAAAACAGCATTTATCCCATTCCGTAAGCCAACTAGCCCTGCCTATCCCAGTATTCTCCTCCTGGTCGGGCTCCATACAACACAGTTATGATATTGTGATCCTACCTTGTCAATCTCCTGCTGCAGGACCTGTTTGGCGACCTCCAGGTCTTGCAGTCGAACCCTCAGTTCCTCATTCTCCTGCTCCAGACGACTCCTCTTCTTTTCCACGCTGTCCAGCTGGCTGTGGAGACGGATGGACACGTCCTTCGCCACCTGGGAGGGGGAAGATGGAGGGATGGAGGAAGAGAAGTTTAGCTCAGTTGTGCATTGTTTAAATGTGTTTACGTACTGTACTGATGTTGCTATAGGACACTGTCTATATAGTAACAATATTTTTTCCATGCCATACACAACTACGTAAATTCTTAAATAATAATACATTTTTCTCATTAGATCAACCCACCCCACTCCATCTGTGTCTAACGACTTAAAATGGCCATAATATTCAGCTGTCATAAAAAGCCCCTTTCAGACATGCACTCTATATGTTAATCTGACAGCAATTTAACATGTTGGTCTCATGTCCAAATAAGCACCCAAGTAATTCTAACGTAAACTGACGACAGCAACTGAGTAACATTTCTGTATCACATCCAACAGTGGACAAGTCTGAACTGAATGTCATCAGATTGATTTAAAGGCTGCAGCAGCACAAGGTAAAACATGCACAGAGAGATTAAATGCATGTCTTGTCCCGCCTTTGAAGATCCCTTAATCATCAGCTCTTGTGCACAATACCAGTTAAATAGAGAGATTAAAAACCCTCTTAATATTATCCGACCAGTAGCCATATATTTCCAATGTTCATTCGTCTTTCGTCCAGTCTTCAGCTGAGAGCATGGGACACTTAAATAAACAAATGAAAGAACTAAACTAATTCCCACTGTGTGTGCATGACTTAGATATTCCCCCATAATAAAGCACACAAGGTGAACTGAGTCTCTTGCAGTAATCTTCATTTGCCAGTGCTGATTACAATAACCTTTAAAATGTCATCATGGGAAATTGCTCAGGAGATTACTTTTTATGTTTCTAATCTCTGCTCAGGTAAGAGAGATAGAACCTTGCCTCTATTTTATTTAATTTCCAAGCGTCAGATATGTTCTAGGATTGCTGCCAGTGCAAACAGGAGCAGTTCAGTGCTGGTTATTTTAGCTGAGGCTACAAAATGTGTCATCTCTATCTTAATCTAATAAAGCCAAAAAGATTATTAATACCACTCTGCCAGGAACTGATCTTTCATACATAAAGGGATCATGTGATCTTATGAAAGTCTGATTGTGTCCCCCTGAGGGAATGTATTCATTAAAAGTTTCTAATGTCAAGGAGTCAGACTAGGACAAAGTCAACTCCCTAATGTCTGATATGAAAACAGCACAACAGGACGCAAAAGCAACAGTGAAAAATTCACCTCTGATAACTGCGTTATGGTTTAACTCATCTAATGATTATGTTCTAATATTTAAAATTGCAGCGACTTTATTATGAGGCAGGACGTACACTCTGCCTTGGAAGCAGTAATGGGAGTTATTTTAAACAGAAACTTAATGAGATGTTTGCTTCATTTATTATTGGCTTGAATTTCAAGTCCATTTGCAATAAAACTGAATTAAATGTCGAAGGACTGTTTTGTTGTCTAAATAGCATACAGTGGGCTACTATACTGGTACATAAAGTCAAACCTGTTTTCTGCTGTGTTTTGGGGAAACAAAGCAAACACTGAAAGTCAATATTAATAAATTACACATTTTGGATGGGGGATGGATAAATACTGCCTAAAGACTTGGGCAGCTAGGCAGCAATAACACAACATAAAATCTGATATTTAAAGCCATAGTAATGCCATTTCATGCTGCAATATACAAACTTACACTGGTATCTGGTAACAACAAACTGTTTTGTTATTAGTATGCAATGCAAATACAGGTAGACATAATTTGATTTAAGTTAAGGCTGAAAGACTCCCATGGAAATGTGCAGTACTTTCGAAATGTTTTCTTTATGCCTTTACAGAGCCAGGCTAGCTGTTTCGCTCTGCCTTATGCTAAGCTAAGCTAACAGGCTGCTGGCAATAGCTTAATATTCACACTATGATTTGTGAAAACTGCAGTCATATCTCAGTCATATTCTTAAATGAAAAATATTTCTTGACATTGCCCTAAAAATCAGTTTTAGTATGATTTTAAATCAGGTGACTTCAGACATAAAAAATATGTCAAAAACACAACACTGTTAATTTGAAACCACAGAAGCTCTTCAGGACACCACATAACAGTCCCACAGTAAAACCAAAAAAAATATTTTTTGTACAGATTGTATCACACTTAATTTGTATAATAATCTTTTGGTTATTAGAAATTATGAATATAAACATGATTTAAAAAGTAGAGATAAAAAAGGTCAATAGCTTTAATAAATGTTGATTTTGACTTCATAATGATTGCTTAGGCTCAATTGAAACTAAATATGAGGGCTTTTATTCTAAAAGGCTGTATTAGATCTGATGAAATTAAACTTTAATGATTCCCGTCGGGAGCTGAGTAAATGGATACATCCAGTTTTAGAGAAAAATGCTTGTGTTAAATCAATCAGTAGCTCATAAATGTACTTAGACCCCATTAACCTCAATACTGATTTAATCTAGTTGGAGATGGTCTTTGGTAGCCTATCTGATGATTTAAGAGTTTTGTGGTAGATAGATTTTACTTTTATGCTAACAATTAGTGAGAGTAGGCCTTATTTATGTATTATTCACAATCATTTTACTCAATAAAAACTGTATACTGTGTGCTTTAGTTGCACCTGAAAAAGGATGAGATGACAACATTGTCCTGTTGTAGTACTGCTTTGCACAAATGGCCTGCCAGCTTCTTTCATTTGATTATATGGAAACAAGGTGAAAGGTTGCTCCATTCAAAGCACAGCAAAAGCTGGTAATAATATGGCTTGGTATTTTCTGTGCCCAATTTGTGGTGCTATAAATGGTTTAGTTTTTTTATTTAATTGAAATTTGAAAAACAACAGTTGATTATTCCTCAATTTACTGTTGACAGCAAAAAAATCATTCATTTCACACATACAACAAACATAACTGGAGTATATAAAGATCAAGTTTGCATCTATATTTGTTTAATGTGTGTTATTCTATTAAAACGTTACTTTTAATATATATGTATCTGATACATATATCAGTCTGAATGGTAACTGCAGCTCTGATGTGAGAGAAGATTTATCTAATTGTGCCTCAGCATAATTAATACCTTTACAATGTGCAATTATATCTGTGTGTGTGTGTGTTTGAACCAGTGCCAGTGTGCAGCTGAGTCCCACAATGCCCTTCTGTACTGCCCACTCTCACTCTACCCAATGGCTCCCTGAGCTCCACCACGCTCCAATTCATGTTTTTGTGTGTGTGTGTGTGTGTGTGTGTGTATGTGTATTCTTCTTCCCTCTGTACACCTTCTATATTTCTGTCCAGAAGTAGTTCCTAATAGTTCTCCTTGTACTACCCCACATTTTGGTTACAGTCCTATTTCTCTATTCTTTTTATAATTTTTACGCCATACTTCTTTCCATATAATTCTCAATTCTTCTTCTGATATACATTTATACAGGTGATCATTATACCTGTTATAATTCAGGTAACAATCCTCAGAAAGGCCACCACACTAATGATTGTTCAATTTAACGTTTCTTGTGAAAATAGAAAACACATCCCAAGCCACCTTCCTTCATAGATAGTTAGCTACCTAGCAACAGAAACAAAGTCTACCCAAACATGACATATGCTATGTTAACATTCAAGTAACAGTTCAATCATGCCTCTTGACTGTTGGGATCAAATGAAGAAATAGTCTCATATTGTTATACAGATAAAATCTGCAGAGGAAGGAGGTCAGGTCGTTTTATGGGTCAACAAAAAGTGAGACGCTAACATGGGAACCCCCGTTTGTTTCTTTTATCTATGACCACCGTCCCTAACCCAAACCATGATATTTCCCTAGCCAAGTTTTTTGGGGCCAAAACATAACCTAATACTATACTTGTTGCAGTGTCAATTCAGAAAATGTTTTTATTTTTTAAACGTATTTTTCAGCGTCAGATCAGAAAACCTGTGTCTCTCTCTCTGGAGGGTAATAACCAGTGCGTATTTTGTCGCTTCATTTAGAGGAATTGTTGGAATAGGTTTTCGTCAATACATGGAACATAGCTTTCACCAACAATGTCTGATTGGTAGGCAATCTCTAGAAGGAGCGGTGCAGAAACACGACAGCAATGAGAACTGAGTAGTAAATATGGGGATGATATTTAAATTTTATTTGTTTAGTGCCAAATCATAACAGAAATTATTTCAGGACACTTTTCAAATAAAGCAGGTCCATACTTATTATAAAATCTACAGTGGATCTCTGTAAATCTGTTTACAGAGTTCCACCAATTCCCACCATGAGCAAGCACTTGGCAACAGTAACAAGGAAAAACTAGCTCTATATAGGTAAGCGGCGGTCTGCCTTGACCGAAAATATGAAAATACTAACAAAAACAGACATATTTGTCATGTCAAGTTGCTCCCTCTGTCTCTTTAAAGCAGATCGACACGACACTTCAACATCAGCGTTTGTGTATGAAAACAAAGATGAGTTCTGAATGCGCGCTGGTTGGAAGCTCCTGGAGCTTGATTGAATTGGACAGGAAAGGTGACTGATTAACACAGGGATTGGTGCATCAATATTTGAAGAATAACAGCTTTTATTAATGGGATGTTTTCACCACTGCAGGTTTATGGGTCTTCATCTCCTTCTCCTCTACTCTCTTTTCCTCCTCCTCCTCCTCTCCTCAATTTTATAATGTCCTCCTCCTCAACACTCCTTTGTCAGCCGTTGACTCCCAGTAAATGATGCATTGTTCTTCTATGTTAAAGGGAAACGTGAAGGAATTTAACACCATTGAAGCTGTGGTTTTACCCAGCAACAGAGCTATAGGATGTAATTAGCATTCAGAGAGGGTGCTGCCGAGCTGGGTGAGAAAGAGCATGTGTGAATGTGTGAGTGTGTGTGTGTATGTGTGTGAATGCTTTAGAGAGTGTGTGTGTTGTGTGACAGAGAACATATGGAACCAGGAGAATAGGGAAAAACATCAAACCTCTTGGACCAGAGAGTCAGAGGGTTTCTTGTTCTCGACTGTTCCTTTACTCACACACAACAAAAAACTCA